GAGGATCCCGACGTGCTCTGCTTACAAGAAACGAAGTGTGCAGAGAAACAGCTGCCTGCTAAAATTCGGGATCTGGCCAAATACCCCCATAAATTTTGGGCCTGTTCCAATGACAAGGAAGGCTACAGTGGCGTGGCCCTGCTCTCCAAGAACAAGCCTCTGGACGTCACCTATGGAATTGGTAAGGACTGCTCTATCCTTATTTTAGGATGTTGGTTCCTCTTAGACTGGTGAGTTATCCCCTACAAAAGCACAAACAGTGAATCCTTGTTGCTTTGGTGAAAAAAGCCACCTCTCTCTGTTCTTGCAGGGGGTGGGGAGTAAATAGAGGTAAGCTGGGACAGAAGAGTTCATTCTTTTTTTTTTTTAAACAAATTTTATTCAGTTTTTCAATTTGAAAACAAAAATCTCTTTTTAGTGGACAACATATTTCCGGGTCATCACCTTTACATAGAAATATGACAGCAATTATACATTCATATATGGATACTTAATTCTATTATTACCTTTTCCATTCCAAATTTTCAGTAAGGAGAGAAACAAACACTTTAATTCTAGCCTCTTTCATTAATCTCAATCGAAACATCTTTTTGTTTCATTTCAATTATTTCAAATATAATTCTTTAATATTTATTTTAAAAATAAAAATAAACAATATGTATTTGACTAATAATAATAACAATAAAGTTACCAATGTTTCTCCTTGCTTTTAATAGTCTATATTAACTTATTAATTTAGCTGGTTCTTTAGTCTGTCATATTCCCTTTCCATTACACATTTTTTTTAATGGATTCTAAATTAATAACACTCACATAATTGAAACGAAACAAAAAGATGCTTCGATTGAGATTAATGAAAGAGGCTAGAATTAATGTGTTTGTTTCGCTCCTTATTGAAAATTTGGAATGGAAAAGGTAATAATAGAATTAAGTATCCATATATGAATGTATAATTGCTGTCATATTTCTATGTAAAGGTGATGACCCGGAAATATGTTGTTTAAAATTTGTTAAAAGGGGAAAGGAAGAAAGAGAGGGATATAAACTGGAATGAGAAAAGAGATGGGGAAAAGAGGGGCAGGAGAAGCAGTAAGAAACAGGCATATGAAAGAAAGAAATATAGAAATAGTAAAATGTTGAAAAGAAATTGTTTTTTCAGAGATAATAATTGACGAATTAAAAAGAGGATCCTGCAGGGTGACAAGGGGTAATAAGAATATTTCTGCAATTAAAAATATTTAGAAAATGGGGTAATATAGATACTGATAACTCTTATTAAAAATTAAGGGGAGAAAATATGCTGTGGAATTCTATTGAAAAGATGTAATGATTAATGGTTTATTGGGAATTAAGATGAGGGAATAAAGGTACATTCTAATTATTAAGGTGCCACATTCAAAATAGTAAAAGGGGGGAAACCTATATTAGAAGAGTGCATTCTTAAGGGCCTGTGTAAAAAAGCAAGCTCTCCAGATTGCTGTCCAATTAAAGAGGTTTTGAAGGTGGCTGGGTCTATTGTAGATACCGTTTTGTGAGAATGCCTGTGCCATGTTCTACAGAGGGTGTCAAACTCAAGCCCTGCAGGGCCAGAACTGGCCTGCAGGGCTGCCCTGGAAACAGCAAAGGACTGGCCTGTGGTGCCTCTGCCAGAGAAAACAAAGCCTGGGCGGGCCATGTGCGGCCTCCTTGACCTCCATTTTTGCTGGCAGGAGGCCGTTGTGGCCAAAAATGGAGCCTCAATGAGTGATGTGGAGCTGGTCACGTTCCCCCCGCCCCAGCCACATGCCCCCCCCAGAGGTCAAACACAACCCTGATGTGGCCCTCAATGAAATCGAATTAGACACCCCTGTTCTACAGGTTCTCAAAAGGTTGAATTGCCATCAGACTTCCCAGACAAGACTGTGCAGGAAACAAGCCTAGATGAGCTAATGCTACTTCTAGTTCTAAGGCTACATTAACAGAATCTGGCAAGTCTGAACATGCAAATTTCCCACCATCTCTTTTTACAGCGTGGTAAATTAGGCAAAATCCTTCTGAGTTTTGTTCTCTGTCCCTTAGGCGACTGAGGGTCGTCCCCTCTCACTTTACTTGATTGTTTCCTATCCTAGGTAGCATCTTTCTCCATTTTCCCTTGAGCTTCAGTTCATGGACAGACACCCTGATATTTTCCTGTAGAATTTATTGGCAAATTCTGTTAATATTGGTAAGGTGTTCCCATCTGGTCCACCAAAGCGGATCCAAATGATGTTAGTGCCACCATAATCTTTCACAAGCTGGATAAAATTCTTATGCTGAAATGCACTGTTTCCCTTTCTCCAAACTAGCACTTCTAATTCAGGCCAAAATGTTCTATTTTGTTCTCATCCAGCCACCTCTGCAATTCCCGTATAGGATCACAACTCCGGGTCTCCTCTCTTAAAATGCCAATTTACCTTACCAGTTAAAGGGGGGAATCTTTGTTAATGGCCTGGATCCTTCCTCTAGGGACTTAGTTAAATATGATCTCATGGCATGTATAAAAGCGAAATACCACTCATGCATCATCACAAAATCTCCAGAACTGTAAAGCCTACAAACTTGAAATTTTGCACATATGTTCCTTTTGGCTTCTAGGTACTCACTAAGAAAGGGGTTTTTTCAAAATGACTATCACAGCATTAGTATTTCGTATATTATTATTATTAACACGCTTTGATGCTAAGGCTTTCTACTCCCCCTCCCCACCTGAAAAGAAATCTGTTCCAAATGCAGAACACAAGCAGAGGAGAAGAGTTTCAGTTTCACAGCACCAAGCAGCTTTAGTACAGAACAGTTGAGCTAAGCCAATCCCAGGCTCCTTGCTGTCTCCTTCTTGCTCACATGGCAAATACTGTATCAGTTTCCAAACTTCCCTCAACTCTCTCACACACTGACAAGATGTAGCCAGATGAATACCAATGGATGCTGGTAAGCAAAGGCACAATTCCACACACACACCCTTATTTTCCTCCCCCAAAACTAAGCCCAATCACATAGTTTCATAGCAAAGCACGGGTATAGAGCTAGTTGTTGATATAGTAATATCCACTTATTAATATTCATGAGCAAAGTTATTTCTATATGCTTGCAGGAGTCAAGAACTCGGCCTGTTCTTTCTCCAGCAAATACAATACTCTTTGCAGCCTGTTGTCCTTGCAATAATGCAGTTAAATTCTTAACTCCTAGAATTCCCATCAAATAGCCATTCTTAAAGCCAGCTTGTCTAGTGGTGAAGGCACCAAGCTAGAAAGCAGGAAATTCTTGAGTTCAAGCTCCTTCTTAGCCAAAGCCAACTGAGTGACCTTGGGTCAGTCTCTCCCCCCCCACCCGCCCCCCATTTCTTGCATTATTTGTTAAGTGAATCACTGCAGTTGATAAGTTAGTAACCCGTTTGTTAAGTGAATCAGGCTTCCTCATGGATTTTGCTCCTCAGGTGGCCAACTCCGGGACACTGTAACAGTCATAAACAAGAGTCAGTGGCCCAGCATCTGAATTTTGATCACGTGACCACAGGGATGCTGCAATGGTTGTGAGTGTGAAAAATGGTCATAAGTCACCTTTTTCAGTGCCGTTGTAACTTTGAATGGTTGGCAAATGAATTCAATCTTTAAGTTGAGGACTACTTGTATGTTCGCCGCCCTGAGTAATTCATAAAAATAATAAATACAGGATATAAATTACATGTAGTCCCTGACTTACAACAGTTCATTCAGTGACCATTGAAAGTTACAACAGCAGTGAAAAAAGTGACTTATCAGCATTTTTCACAGTTATGACCTTTGTAGCATCCCCATGATCATGTGATCAAATTTCAGATGCTTGGCCACCGGTTCAGACTTAACGACCGTCACTGTATCCCAAGATCGCGTGGCCCCCTTTTGCGACCACCTAATAGGCAAAGTTGGTGGAGAAACTAGATTCACTTAACTGAGTTACTAACTTATCAACTGCAGTGATTCATATAACAACCGTGTGGCTCGTCGTAAAAACGGCGTGAAACCCACTCAACAAATGTCTCACTTAACAACAGAAATGTGTGGTCGTAAGTCCAGGACTATTTATAATGGAAAGCCAGGGAGTTCTCAGGTGGATGACACCAGACTGGGAAAGGCTGGAACTGAACATCTTCCTCCGATCAGGCTTGTTCAAAAACGACATTGATCTTGGATCTGTCTTCTGCATTGTCACTACAGGTGAGGAAGAGCATGATAAAGAAGGGCGGGTGATCACAGCAGAATTCCCCTCCTACTTTCTGGTGACCGCCTATGTGCCCAATGCCGGTCGGGGACTGGTGCGCCTGGAATACCGCCAGCGCTGGGATGAGGCCTTCCGCTCTTACCTGGAAGGCCTGGCTGCCCGCAAGCCCCTTATCCTGTGTGGGGACCTCAACGTAGCCCACCAGGAGATTGATCTGAAGAACCCCAAAGGGAATAAGAAGAATGCGGGCTTCACTCCAGAAGAGCGGGCTGGTTTCACCCAACTGTTAGAAGCTGGCTTTGTCGACACTTTCCGACATCTCTACCCCGACACCCCCCACGCCTACACTTTCTGGACATACATGATGAATGCCCGGGCTAAGAATGTGGGATGGCGGCTTGACTACTTTGTCATCTCCAAAGGGCTTCTGGAAGGGCTGTGTGACAGCAAGATCCGCTCCTCAGCCTTGGGGAGTGATCACTGTCCCATCACCCTCTATGTGGCTGTGTAACATAGGGTTACATGCAGAGGAAAGCCCCAAGCTTATTATTACAGCTTGAGTGGGAAAAGAAAATCGAGCTAAAATTATGTCTGTGACTACTTAACCCTAATTTTGGAGCAGTGTTTTTCAACCATGGCAGCTTTCAGACTTTTGAACTTCCAACTCCCAGAATTCTGGGTGGCTCACTGGGTGGGAACTCTGGGAGTTGAAGTCAACACATCTGAAGGTCACCAAGGTTGAGAAACACTGCTCCAGACTCAGGATTTGAATTCTGTTCCATAAGGTCTTGTTTTGGGGTTCCTCTGCCTGCACAAGTTCTCTAGAGAAGTTTAATGATTTAAAACAGAGGTGGGGAACTTTTTATGAGCTATACTAGCTCAGGAATTCTAGGAATTGAAGCCCACAATCATAAAGGAGCCGTCATTCCATACCTCTGGCTTAAAAGGTGGGGCTGGAGCAGGGAGGTGCAAGCTATTAAAAGCATCCATTGATTCCTGAGATAGCAAAGATCATACTGGTATCTTTTGTTTTCTAGTTTTTTGAAAAAAAAATGAGAAAAGGTTAGACTAAGTGGGGGCATTACTCCACGGCTATTGTTCTCCAGATGTTAGTTGTTTTGTCCTTATTTTGAGTATTGCTCATTAAAAAGTACCTTTCCTCCCTTACCTTCCCCCCCTTTGCACTGCTTTGAGAAAGGTGTAATTCACCAAAATGTATTTTGATTTCCCAGAAAACATTAAACTTCCCTTTCATAAAAGATAAATTGATTGATCTTGTCTCATTTTCTATCCAGAATGCTATCTGTTAACAATTTCAGTGTGTGGCCTTTTAAGCAATGATTTCCTTTAACTTTATCCCCACCTGATGGTCAAAGTGGTAGGGAAGAATTTCCAATCTGAGTTGGTTTTCACAATAACTTTGGTAATTACATACTCTGCTCTTCACAACAGGCTTTTTATTTCCAATAATGGAAAGCTGACAGGTCATGATTTACCTTTAAACCAAGTATACATTCATGCGCATCCATTTCATCAAAGATAAAGCTTTCTCTGTCTGGTCCTATCTGACTCTATTGGATGATGCTCATCTCCATTTCCTACCTTGGAAGCCAGCGTTGCCCATGGTCATGTGGCTCACATGATAACACTTAATGCCGTTACATTCCCACTGAAATGGTACCTATCTTATCTACTGGCATTTGCATGCTTTTGAACTGCTACCATGTTTCCGCGAAAATAACACTGGGCCTTAAATAAATTTTTGCTCCAAAAGATACCTTAGGGCTTACTTTACAATTAGGTCTTCTTTTGGGGAAAATACAGTAATGCATGTCTGGTGGACAGTCTTAACTGGCACTTATTTTGGGAGTGGGGCTTATATTACAAGTATCTGGGAAAACCATGCTAGGGCTTATTTTCCTTTTGGGTACACATGGTAGGTGGGCAGCAGCTAGGGCAAAGTCGGGAGTTCATCTTGTCACACAGTGCTTTTAAACCTTTTCCAGCTGACAAGCTCAGTGTCTTTAGCGACTAAGCCATCACAGTCCCTTATCCATTTGCCCAATATTGGCTAAAATACTCATTTCTGTATTTGGACAATTGGAAGCCCTCTCTAGGAAAAGCTGGTGGCGCAGTGGTTAGAATGTAGTATTGCAGGCTAATTCTGCCAGCTGTTCAATCCTGACCTGCTCAAGGTTGACTCAGCCTTCCTTTCTTCCGAGGTCAGTAAAATGAAGACATAGATTGTTGGGGGCAATATGCTGACTCTGTTTACTGCTTAGAGAGAGCTATAAAGCACTAAGAAGCAGTATATAACTATTTATATAGCTATTGCTATAACATGTCCTAGGAACATCCCCCAAAGTACCTTAGCCTGTGCTAAATATTGCCCCATTCCAAGTTAAGCTAATTTCCCCTTAAGTTGCTCACTGTCTTAAAAAAAAAAAAAAAACCAAGCTCAGTAACCCTGGGGATCACTTTCACAGGGAAGGAAAAAGAGGTTTTTAGATTTCAACCTGGGAAGGGTCCTCAGGCAAGTCCAACTGGGAAGAATGTCTAACTTCAGCGAGAAGCCAGCAATACAAGATGTGAAACAAACCAACTCCATTGGAGTGCATCTGACATGACTTGGTTGTCTAAGTTCTATGTTTTTAACCTCTTGGCATATCTGCATCAAGGATGGGATTAACATTTGCGAGATAATAATCCATGGATTAGTGGAAGACCTGGTAGATGTAGGAAATGATATCAGAGCTACAACTGATTCATGTCAATGAGCCTTGCTGACACCAGAACAGAACATTGGATTAAATTACACAAAGAAACCCATTTTGCTGTTTTTTAATTAAGTTATGTAAACGATTTGTGTGGTGGCCCATTTTAAGCAACTGTTCAGGAATTTCCTCCAAGTGAATTACATTTAATCAAACCGACTCTTAATCAAAGGAATTTCCTCCCTTAATCAAAGGACATTCTGTCAAAATCAACTCTTAATTGAAAGAAATTTCATCCCCCTTAAGGTGGCTTATTCTGAAAAACCACACGACTGCAGCTTCCTGTCCAATTAAGTCAGTTATGGAATAGCTACTTTTATTTATTTACAGTCATCCAATTCACAGAATAGTTACTTTTTGTTTATTTACAACCATTCAAATGTGCCTGTGGAAGAGAAGGAAAAGGATGACAGACATGTTCAATCATGGCTGAAAAAGAGAGAGACATACGGTGCAAGCGCACAGGCAAGCAAGCAGGCAGGCAGCCAACACGGAGGAAAGTTATCTTAAATAGTTCTATGTACATTTTACTCCTTATATACAAGCTGCAATAGGTTTAGGGCTATAAGCTCGATGCCATGGAGGTGCAAGAAAAGAGGGAAGACTGGGGTAGACGAAAAATCAAGCCAGGTTCGTAATAGGATTGAGAGGTTTCCCTAAGTGGAATATCTGTTTGCTGCATGACTCGGGGCATACTTTCCTCTGTACGACAGAGTGCATGCACCATTTCCTCCCCCTTCGGTCTATGTCATCAACTAGTAAGACAAAAGAAGGGATGAAAATCTGATTTAGTAGGCTCTGGAAGAAGAGACTTCTCACAAGGGAGAATCTGCGCCTCAATTCAAGGTTGAAATAAATCCCCCCAGCACTTTCAATCAACTGCAGGTGGTGTTGGCAGTTCTCCCTTCAACCTTTTGAACAGAAAAACAAAACAAAAACAAAACACATAGCTATGGCTTGAAAGGGCTCTTCAAAGAGAGACGTGCTGGTCCCTAAGGCTGCTCTCATCTCGCCCCCACTGAAAACAGAGTTTAGGTTGTTGGAGAAGAAACAGGGAAGCGGCTCCTTCAAGGAATGTGCAAAGATTAAGAAACCAAAGCAGAAATGAGCCCCACAGTTAAATGTACCTAAACTTCTTTAGCGGAAGACTTCTGGATCTCACATTGTAGATCACAGAAAGGGGGAGATAGGAGTCAAAATTCATTAAACGAACATCTATGTCCCCCCCCCCCCCCCAATCCTGGGGCTTTGGTACTAATCCTTTATGGAACGGCCTTCTCTCATTCCCCGGGGCACCTTCACATTTGAGGATTGTGGAAACGACCTCGACCCTTGCAGCTTTTAGCTACCCCCTACATTACAGACCACAGGATGACTGAAAAAAACAAGAAAAATCAATACAGCAGCAATTCCTTGATGCTCCTCTGCCTTCCCCTCGACCAGAAAAAGGTTCTTAAGCAGCCTCTGATGGGAGCTGAGAACAGAGTCTTGGACACCATCTTCTGAAGTGCCCCCACTGAAGACCTGTAGTGTTATCTCAATGGGTTCCGCTGTTTGGGCTGGGCCATCTCCAAATGTCACCAGAACAGCCGCCACTGGTTTGATCCCAAACCATCCAGCTGCGTCCAAGTTTTTCTTTTGGGAACGATTAGTGTTCTGTTAATTCGCAGGATCCATAGGAACTTTGCCCCCCTCCCCTCCTCCCGGGATTGGAAGAACCCGACAGAACTGGGCCTTCGACTCCTTTGGAGTCAAAATTGTACTTTCTTTTGCCATCAATCCTGGCTCAGTGGAACAGAGATGGAAGAAGACTGGTAGGTATCAGGGTTGTCCCACAGTTACTCAGATGATGACACTGGGAGCGGGCACAGCAAGAAGGTGGCATGGCAGACCCAACTTCAAATGGAAGCGGAGGGGAGGGTACGGGCCCTGGGTCCCTGGAGGAAGAGGCGGTCGAGCAGTGGTGGGAAACTAAGAGGAGCTTGGAGAGGCTCACGAGAAGTTCTGGATGGGGTGGCTGACCCTCATGCAGGCCCAGTACATAGCTCGGCCAAGGAAAACCAAAGCCAGGAAAATCACCACAGCCCAGGCAGCATAGACACCCCTGTACTGCTGGGCTTGTTTCCAGGTACCAAACTAGAAAACAAAAGAAGAGTCAGAAATCAACTTCACAATAAAACAGCTTAATAGACTTACTATAAAAGAGAAGTGTGTGTGTATTTGTGTGTGTGTGTGTGTTCAATAGAACTTTGGGTTCAGCAACCTTTTGTTCCAGCCCGAACCACAAAATGTCTCCAATTTTGTCTCCAGGACCTGAAGGCTGGGGAGACATGATGGTGAATTTTCTATATTAGATGCATAACCCTCCCTTTTTTCTTTTTATCAGAATGGACCTATACAGATTCAGCCTCCCGGAACTGGATTCTGAATAGGGAGAGAAGCTGCTCCTTCCAAACTTTACTACTTCTCTTCCTTTCAAGAGAGACCTTGGACACCAGTACTACAGGTAGTCCTCCATTTACAGCAGTAGTTAAATGGCATATTTTTTCACACTTATAACCACGGCAGCATCCCTGAATATTAATGTGATTTTACATTTGGATCACTGCTTCGTATTTATGATGGTTGCAGTGACAAGTGATCTTCTTTTGCAGCCTTCTGATAAGCAAAGTCAATGGGGAAGCCAGATTCATCTAACAACCATTTTACTCGTTTCACAATAGTAGTGTTTCGCTTAAAAAATCTGGCAAGACCAGTCGTAAAATGGGACAAAACTCACTTAACAAATTTCTCATGTAGCAACATTAATTCTGGGCTCAATTGTGGTCGTTAAGTCAAGGTCTACCTGTATTCAGGACCTTAGTTTGGTGTCCTCTTTAATATTAACATTGCTTCTTTTATTTTGGACAAATGCTTGTATAATGAACTGGTACGTAAGGGTTCCTTTAGGGCAGGAGGAGGAAATATTCCTTGAGCTTTAAAGTGGAAATGTGGGAGTTGCAGAAAGCTTGTCGTCACAAAAGGGCCATCCCTATACTAAATAACCATCATTTCAAACCGGACACTGACTTAGGTATGAGCCTAAGTGGGAAGAGCTGTGCTTCTTCTAGATATCTAGTATTAAACAGTTTTTGATTTCAGGTAATGAGTGCCATGTTCAGTTGCCTCTCTCCTATGGGAAAAAGTGGCCTCAAGTCAAGACTGACCTTGGACACATCTCTGTAGGCTTCTTGGCAGCAAAATCGGTGGAGTTTGTCTCTTTTGTTCTTCCACTTTTTTTTTTAACCTTCTCATTCTAACCCAAAGCCCTGGGATTTCCAAGTATCAACCAGGCATGGCCATCTTTAATGGTCTCATCCTAATCACACTCATTTTGAGACATACACCCCGCCCACATGTGCCGCCCCCAGCCCTATCTAGATGCCCCTCTCTCAGACTCACTGCCAAACCCGTTGCGGTCACGGCCATCAGCACTCCCAACAGAAGACAGCAGAAGCACCGTTTCCTCGGATAGCGGCGCCCGATGGAAGAGCTGAGGGTACAAAGAGTAGGAGCAGTATGTCAAGTATCCAGAGTCATTCTCACAAAGTTCCTGCCCCCCCACCCCACACACACACACAAGAATTCAGAACTCTGGCAAAGAGGCTTTGTCTATCAAGGTAGTAGATCTCTTCTCCAGCAAGGGGGAAAGAGGATTCATCTTCCTAGCTCTCTTTGAAGCTGAACCCCCAAACAGTAAGTTCCCTCCCCCATTCCAGTTACTAATATCTAGGTACGGTCAACGCAAACTTGAGAGAACATTCTGTGAGTGCTTCTCCTCCTCTTCTTCCTCCTCTGGGCCCAATTCCTTCCCAAGAGTAACTCACACTTTACGGCAGTGCGGGCATCGGGCTAAAGTGCGATCGGTGAATTCTGTCCACTGGAAAGACAAAAGAGAAAGAGAGAAGGTCTTAGAAAGGACGAGGAGAACCCGACCAGAGTCACACTTACCTGCCACAAATAGGCTCGTTTTTTTTTAAGGAGTCGCGCTCAGCTGCCCCTCCAAATATCAAATCCTTGACTTACAACAGTTCATTTAGAGACCACTGGAAGTTACGAAGGCTCAGGAAAAAAGTGACTGGTGGCCATTTTTCACACTTATGACCATTGCAGCATCCCCATGTGTCATGTGATCAAAATCCTGATGCTTGATAACTGTTCCTATTTATGACGGTTGTAGTGTTCTGGTGTCATGTGATCCACTTTCGCGACCTTCTGACAAGCAATGGGGAAGCCAAATTCACTTAACAACTCGCACCTTTAACAACTTCAGGGGCAAAACTCACATGGCAAGTTTCTCACTTAGCAACATAAATTTTGGGCTCAGCTGATCGTTAAGGGGAGGACTGACTACCTGTAGCTGATTGAAAACCACTCACCTGGAGATATTCGCAGGTGAGAGCCCAATTAGTGTCAATTTCAGCCAACTGAACTTCAGCCAATTGAACTATGCTTTTGTATCCACTTTGCACTCCAAGGCCAGTTTGCAACAAGACTGGCTTGTTTGGGCTCAAATCAGAATTTGTAAGTTTATAATTTTCTTCCAATAACGGGTCTCCAAACACCACCCAAAGGTGAGCCTGGAACAAATAAGCCTAACTTTTTCCCCAAAATCCCTTCCTCCGCAGTGCCCTTACCAGGAAATTATTTTCGCAGTGGCCGCAATTGACACGCACACCTACGGGCTGAGGCTCAGGACTCGGAGGGCCAGGGTGAACGGGGCCTAGGTTTATGACCCTTTTACTGGGTAGAAAACAGAGGGAGAAAAGAGATTTAGATTATTCTTCTTGTCAGTCCACCTGGCTCCACCAAACACCTATTTTCAAGCCAGCATAACTCCACCCCTTTGTCATCACGGAGGAATAAAGTTGATTTTGGATTTAAACAGTCCCTCATATGTATAATTTTTAAACTCAGGTCCAAATCCAGCATGCACAACTAACCTCTCAATTCAAAGAAAGCCCTTCAACATACCAACGTCTGGGTTTTATCAACCAGTCTTTCTGGTTTCATCAGGGCAACCAGTGTTTTTATTATCTAAACATAAACACCCTCTTCAAAGGGGCAAAAAACCAGATTCAAATAAAACCAGATTCAAATAATGAAGATAGAGGGAGAATCCCATTTTCCTTCTCTATCTGGGCACGTTTTTTTTCCCTCCAGAAAGGCCACATATTAAGCTTGATTATTCCAATCTGCATCTTTGTTTTCCAGTTCTTTCTTCAAAAAACAGAATCCTACCCACATTGGATCAAACCACGTCCCCTAAATGCTATACTTCTTCACCTTGCTAAAATGATTTCAGGATTCAAAAGACCTATCTCTCTCTCTCTCACACACACACCCATTTTTCTCCAAAAACATAAAAGTTTTGCAGCCATGAAGAAATACGCGCTTTTTTTACGAGTGCAAAACTTTGATGTATTACTCCCATATTTGGCAGCATAGATTGTTACGCCCAACTATTTTGGAAAACTGCTACATTTATAACTTTGTGAAAAGAAACCCACTTTTTGACTTGGGTACCTTTCGAATACAGAATAATGGAGTTGGACGGGACCTTGGAGGTTTTCTAGTCCAACTCCATGCTCAACAAGGAGACCATTGAGATGAGCATCCTGTAGAAATTGAATACAAATAAATTTAAAAAATGGTTGCCATATAAAACCGTAAGCCATATTTTCCCAATACAAGGTAATTGTGTATTCTTCTACATCTACTTCTTTTCCCAATCTGCCTACTTTCTATTGAATATTGTTAAACCTCGTATTTTTACAATATTTGCTAAATTATCTTTATACATGCTCACAGCTGATAAGATGCTGTGCATTTGAAATTGGAAAGTAATGTAAAAATTTCTTCAGTAGAAGAATTTGCATAATTACCTTGTATTTAGGAAATAAATCTGGCTTACAATTTTGTACAACACCCATTTTTATTTATTTGTTATTTATTCAATTTCTACAGGATGCTCATCTCAATAGTCTTCTGCATGAGCTGGGATAGGGTTAGGCTAGAAGATCTCCAAGATCCTTTCCAACTCTATTATTCTGTATTCTAATGGAACCCAATGTAGCCTTGGAGCAATGTTGCTCAACCGTGACAACTTGAAAATGTGTGGACCTCATCTCCCAGAAACCCTGTCTGGGGAACTCTGGGAGTTGAAGTCCAGACAGTCTCAAGTTGCCAAGGAAGGTTGAAAAACATGTCCTGGAGGGCAGCCATTTGTCTGGAATGGTATAGGCTCTCCTGCTTGAGTGGGGGTGGGAGGGGTGGGGTTAGACTAGAAGACATCCAAGGGTCCTTCCAATTCAATGACTCTCGGTAGCTTACAAATTTTGGAATACAATTCTAGCCATGTTCTTGTTCTACATCTGAAATTAGGGTTTTATAACTTTTAGCATTTAAATCTTGATTTGTTAAATAAGGATACCTTTCTTAGTAATTTGATAAGACTAAATTTTTCATTTTAGTTTATATTCTATACCATGATGATTGTTGTTGATACCAATATATTTACTGGCATAAATTTAAATGTATAAAAGTCAATTCATTATTCAGAGTACCCATACTTAAGTTTTATTTAGCTTTAGCTTTTATTTAGCTTATTTTGTGGATGCTTGTGTGTTTTTAGGAGGTGGGGAATTTTGGAAGGTGGGGAGGTGTTTGGGGATTGTCGTGTGTGTGCATGTTAAGTCTGATCTCTGGATGTTACATGAATTTCGTTGTATTGATACTGTGTATATACGTACAAAGACAATAAGGAATTCAATTTACGTATATTTATGTGAGCCACCAAGAGTAATTTGTGATTATGACAGCATACAAATACTTTGAATTAACAAATACACATAAATATCTCTTATTTCCTTTCAATTTTATTTTTCCTCTTCTTGTTTGTTTTCCCCATAAAATGTTATATGTAGGGAGAGTAAGAATGTTTAGAAAGCTATTTTTGATCCAATATTAAAACATCCCGAAGAACATAACTATATAATTCCCTTCCCCGCTCCTTACCAATATATCCGCGGACAAGCGATGCGTTGTGAGGTAACTTTGCAGATCAAAAGACAGTTGCAAGGGCATCTGACGTACTTCTTACCAGGTGGGGCATTTTTAATTGGCTATAGAAGGACAAAAGAACATTTTTGAAAGTTAAACAAGTTGAATATGTTTCCTGGTTTAAGAAGAAAGGTCACAAGAAGGCAAAAAATCTAATCCATCTGCCAGGCATTAAACCAAGATTACTAGTGACACTCTCATTCATCACAAGGCATCTATAATTATTTAAACTGAATTAATACATATAAAAAAACCAGGTAACCAACAGTTGCAATGGGCAACAGGTTTAAATGTTTTGGTTTAAATTGGGAAAACAGTCTAGAAACTATTTTGTGTTTTGCTTTTTTTTCTGAACAAAGCACGACATCCTATCAAAATTTAGTCGCAAGTTAATAAATGTACATTTTTCTACACAGGATATTCTGTGTTATCTTTGTTTTTCATAACTTAAAAAATTAGGTATTAAGTGTTGCACTAGAATCATGCTCAAGAAGCTGAGCTACTGGTAATCTGAAGAAGAAAAGCTGGGCTAGACAAGCATAACATTGGATGAAGTGTACATTTCAGGAAACATGGTAATAAAAATGTGGCATTCAGAAGACACTTATTTTACACCAAAAAAATATTTTTTTCAGACAGAGGGCTTCCAATGTAATACATAAAAGCAGTAGAAGGGAAGATTGACAAGGAATGTGGAAAGGGTAGAGCCCTTCTCAAACATGTTTGATTATCGTTGCAATCTTAATAGGTAAGTTCCTTATGTCAAAGGTAACTCTGGGTGGGGCTGGGACAAAGATAAAGCACAACTGACAGTTGCACATTGAACACCTTGCAAATCTAAAGTTGTATCTTGGACTCCAAAAGAAATTCATTTGTTTTTTTAAGCTTCTGTCTGTCCATGATGCCTTATTCTGAGAAGCTAAGATAAAAAGGCTTCCGAACAAGTTTTATGGGAGGCGAAAGGGAAAACATCAGAGTAAAATTCAGGATGATATTATCTCAAACTACTCAAACTACTGAATCAGATTTTATATTATTGAGGGGATCCCGAGCAACTATTTAGCCTTTCAGTTTTATGCTATCCGCAGCTGCAGGAAATGAAATCTATTGCAGATGGGCAATGCTATTTTTTAGATTTATATTTTTCAGAAGACTGAGAAACCAGTAACAGAAAAGAAACCAAAACAGGAAATGAGTTCTAGGACAAGTTCCCAGTTTTAGAGAAAGCCTTTTCCACAGAATATTTTATACCTGAAGTGTTCTGCATTGTCTTTGTTATCTTGATAGCCATGAACTCTGGGGAGGGTAGAAGGGAAGGAGGCTACTTGAAGGAGGAAAGTGTAGGTTTTAACTGCTGTTATCTCCCTGAGATGATGCTTCAAGGTCGCCCAGCTGGGAGAAGAACCAGCTGCATACCAACCTACACTTGAAATGACTGTTCTGAAAACATCTTTCTCCAACCTGATTAGATTTGGGGGGTGGAGGGAGATGGGAAGCAATGTGAGGCAGTTAAGGGAGAGAAAAAAGTTGAAGCTAGGGATTTTGGTGGTCCTATTCTCGGTTCTGACCATGCATTACTGCAATATACTTGATTTCTAATAAAATTATGCTTTCTCAATAAATTGGAGCCAAGGATAGTTTGTGCAGACTCTGACTTGTGCAGAGTCAGGCCCCAGATCTAGCTAGCTCAGTATTGACTATGCTGACTTGAGCATCAACAGCTCTCAAGGGACTGAAGATTCTGCCTGAAAGCTAACACAAGTACTCCGTCGGCAAGCCAGGTCAGCAGATTTGCAGTTGTGGCTTACTCTTTCACAATCCAGGTTTTTTTTTAAGGAAATCATCACCACTATGTTAAAAAAAAAAGCCTACATATTTGTAACATCTGGCGAAAACTATAGAAATACAAACCTCCCTTTCTCTTTGATTCGCTTTACTGTACCATCGTAGCATCTGGCAGGGGGCCTGAGTTTGCTGTTGTGGAATTGAGTTGAAGGTAACCAAGCAGGGGGAAGTGACCCTGAGAAATACTGCTTGTCTCCGACTTTCTATCTGGTTCATGGGTCAGCTCATCTTCCTTTATTTGTACTCGCGCTTTATTTGGCCAAGTGTGATTAGATACACAAAGAATCTGTCTCCGGTGCAGAAGCACTCAGTGTACTTGCAAAACAGTAGAATATAACAACATTAAAGCGTACAACTGATAAAAGGGGCAAATAAGAAATGTAGAGAATAATAATACTGCAGCCACATCTTGTGGATTGATGTACATAACACATCAGGCAAAAAAAAAACCCAAAACCCTTAGTCACTGTATTTTGCTAGCTGTGAGAATTAGGTATTCAGCAGAGTAATGGCACATGGGAGGAAACTATCCCTATGTCTACTTGTCTTGTCTTGGCATACAATGCCCTATAGTGCCATCCCAAGGGAAGGAATTGAATCAGATTAAGTCCATGATGGGAGGGATCTGCAAATATCTTCTCAGCCCTCCTTCTGACCTGCACAATGTACATTTCTTCTATGGCGGGCAGATATTCCACATCTTATACTCCACCCAGCTGCCTCTTGCCTTTACATCTTTCCACTGTGCCACCCACATCCCAGACAGTGCTCACCGTGGCCTCATTGCAAACACTACATTTCACCACATGCTGATGCATCTTTCCCTCCACGTTGATGGGGCTCTGGCAGACTCGGCAAGTGATCATAGGAGCACTGCCGCTCTCCGGCGATGCCATCGGGGAATACGGCGGGGGATCTTCTGCAGGCAGTATGGCTGCTTGGCTCCCATCATTGAGACTGCTGAAGGAGGAAAATCCTTGGAAGGGAAGAGAGAAAGAGTCAGGGTGAAAAGGGAGCACTCAACTGCCCTTCTACGGTGCTGCTGCTAAGTTTACAGGCTGCCCCCTCGATCCTTCTTCCGGATCTCTCACCTGCATTTCATTCTCCTCAAATTTCTCCTCCTCCACCACCACCCTTTGATTCCTGCCTCTAAATTTGTTCGTCTTCAACCTGCAAAGCCCTGTAGAGGATAGTCTTGATGGAGAAAGGGGAGATCTATACCAAAGCAATCAGGATGAAAAAACTGCTTCAATCCAAACAATGAAAGCAGGAATGAGAAAACCTTTGAAGCCACTTTCATAATTCACATTAGTATAAGAGAGAAGGTGGGCCGTAATCTACAAATATCTACTTTTATCTGCAGACCCCTTACATCCTAAACTGTTTCAGCTTCTCCACTCAGGATGCCGCTATTGGGCATTGCACGCCAAAATAACTAGACACAAAAATAGATTCCTCCCTCCAATACCATCACTCTGCTAATCACCTAATTCCCATAGCACTATCTTATGCCTAAGGATATTTACTCATATAATAGGGCTGTGTTGCTGCAATATTATCCTCCTCGTCTTCTCATCTTTCCTACTACCTTCTCCTATTGGTATCTTATGGTTTATCTCTTGTTGTTTGTATCTTATGTCTTATGGGCGTATCTCCTGGTCTATGATTTTATCTTATTATGCTTTATGATCTATGACTTACCACTTTGTTATTGGTATGTACCTGAGAGCTTATGCATTGGAGACAAATACTTCATGCGTCCAATCACACTTGGCCAATAAAGAACATCCCAATTCTGTTAGGATTGGTTACTACAGATAGTACTTTTTTTTTAAGGAAAAAAAAAACAGTTTTGATCTTTGCATGTAATTGATTTCTTGGTTTGATCTACTTGGGACTGACAGCTATTAGCAATTTTGAGTAGCTTTCTTTTGAGAAAAGCATTTGGCCGGAACCAGACTGGTAATTTCAAAAAACATATTTACTGCCCAGGGCGGGGGTCTCCAACCTTAGCAACTTTAAGCCTGGCGGACTTCAACTCCCAGAATTCCCCAGCCAGCAAAGCTGAAGTTGAGTTGAAGTCCGCCAGACTTAAAGTTGCTAAGGTTGGAGACCCCGGCCTAGGGAACAGCAAGCCCCACCCCGGTCCGCAATTTAGGGATCTTCCTACCAACAGGGCTTGAGATGAAGTGTTGTCCTTATGATGGGATACCCAATTCTACCCCCTACCGAGCCACGCCCCAAGGCACAAACCATGCCTCCTGCCTTGAGGGCCTCTCCTCTCTGGGATCCTTCTCGTCTATCGCCCCTCTCCCCCCCATCCCGCTCTTCAACCCCGCCCACCGCCTCTCCTTTCTCAGCGGCCCTCCAGGGACTATAAACGAGGAAAGTCGACTCACCTTGTGGTGGGTTGGGTTTTCCTGGAGCACTCGAGCCGGGTCCCGACCCCAGACCCGCCGGCCCCACCAAACCTCCGGAGCCGAGGCCGCTCCCATCTCCAGGCTCGGCCGGCAGCAGCGGGGATCGTTCACCATCCGCAGCCATCACTGCTACTGCTGCACCCGTAACCGCCCCGCGTCCCTTTCGGCTTCCGTAGCGCGCACGTCCCCGCCCCTCGCTCCCGGATTATTCTCGTCACATGATGACCCGACGGCTTCATCCTATTGGCTGCAAGGAAGCGTCTCGGTCTCCGTCATGTGACCAGAAACTGGTGGCGATAGCGAGCGCTGCGCTTCGGATTGGTCGGGAGAGACTGACGGCGTGTCGTCCGCTTCCTTCCATTGGACGCAAAGGATGCTCGTTTTTTTCGCAGTCCCCCCCCTTCGTCCCGTGACTATCTCTGCGTCTCCCTATTGGCTGCTTTTTGCAGGTGTTTCTCAGTTTGTCCCGAATCATCGTCTCTTCCTCGATTGGCTATTACCTTCTCCCCCCCCCCGGTCTTTCGCTCAAGGTGGCACAGGCGTTTAAAGAGATCTAGCTTATGTGATAATAAACCGCGGGTGCTCATTGGCTCGCCTCTTTCACTGTTTTATAGTACGATCCTAGGAGCCACACTATAACTTACGTGAGGGAATGTCTGCTCTCCCATTGGACGGGTCGAAGTTCTCCATTGCTTCTCCTAACCAATCGCTCCACCTCTTCTGGAGAACGCCCCGCCCTTTCAATCATGATTGACGGTCCCCATGGAGATTCCGCCCCAGAGTTCGAATCTTCAATTTAAAGAGAAAAAGGGCAATCCACTCGTGCGCGCGCTCCGTTTCTATTTCCAGGGTGGGTGGGGAAAAAAAAAAAGCCTGGAAAAACTTCCACCCAAAGCTTGTGTCTTTTCTTCTCCAAGATAATTGCCTAGGAAGCTTCTTTAGCCCGGTGCTTTTCAAATGTGGCCACTTTTCAGATGGGTGAACTTCGGCTCTTAGAATTCCGCCCCCCCCCCCCAAAAAAAACCATTGGAGAAAATGGCTGGGGAATTCTGGGGATTGAAAACCACCTGTCTTAAAGTGGCCCATTTCGCAAAAAGCTGGGGCTAGAGGAGGATTGGTAGGATTTAACTGTGATTGGTTAAATTGCTGTTAACTAATTAGATGGATAAGATTTAACAAAAATTGGTTAAATTGTAATTAATTGGATTGATAGAATTTAACTGCAGTTGGTTAAATTGCAATTAATCTGATAGGATTTAACTGCAGTTGGTTAAATTGCAATTGATTAGATGGGTATGATTTAACTGCAGTTGGTTAAATTGCAATTAATTTGATAGGATTTAACTGCAGTGGTTAAATTGCAATTAATTAGATTGGTAGGATTTAACTGCAAGCCCTTTAGCATTTTGTTGCTTTTCTTTGCATGTTTTCCAGTTCCTTATCTGACCTTTGGTACTGGGGCAACTGGACACAGTGCAGGTAGTCCTCAACTTGTGACTGCAATGGAGCCCAACATTTATGTTGTTAAGTGATTTTTGCCCCATTTTTTGACTTCTTACCATGGTTGTTAAGTGACTCACTGCAGCTATTAAGTTCATAACATGGTTGTTAAATGATCTGGCTTCCCAGTTGACTTTGCTTGTCAGAAGGTTGCGAAAGGTGATCCATCGTCTTAAATATGAACCAGTTGCCAAGCATCTGAATTTTGATCACATGATCATGGGAAAGCTGCAAAGGTCGTAAGTGTGAAAAACAGTCATGTCACATTTTTCAGCCCTCTTGTAACTTCGAACGGTCACTAAATGAACTGATGTACATCGAGGACTGCCTGTATTATAGATGTGGGCTGTGATGTTGATATTGCATTTCTCTTTATATACGCTAAGATTACATTATTGCTTTTGGTTGCTGCGACATGGCTCACATTTAATTTGTGGTTTTTCAGATCATCCTCCAGTTCTTTTTCCCCAGTAGCCAGGTATTGCCTGGTTTGTATTTGTTCCTGAATGCAGAACTATGTATTTCTCACTAACTGAACAAATTGATGGGCTGCTCAACTCCAGTGGACGGGTGGTGTACAAAACTAGAAAAAAAAAAGATTGGGACTGGGTTAGGGACTTCTGTCCTCACTGTGAGTTGTGTTGGGGGTGGTGGTGAATGAAGGGAGGCTCAGCCAATCTCATTGTACTCTGACAATAAAGGTAATAATAAACTACTTTTTGTTAATTTTGGATTATGAAATCTAACACAGGATGATTTTTTTAAAGGCACTGTCTCTATTTTTTCCCCAAGAAACAAGAATTAAATATTACTTTCCCAAACATGTGTACCCTATTTAAAGTAAGTTGTTTGCCTGGATATGTTGACCTCATAACAGCTAGTGTATTGACTATGTGTAGTAATAATGATACTGTATTCTTATCTTTGGAGAAAAGGCTTTTCCTAGCTCTTTCTCAAACTATAGTAATATTGGTTGAAAATAGCACGATCTCTTGTATTTCAGCTAGTGCTATAGAGCAGGGGTTCCCAACCACCGGGCCCCAGACTGGTACCGGGCCGTGGATCATTTTGTACCGGGCCGCAAAGAATGAATAATCATGATTAAAATATATATAAAAATATGTTTTTGCTTCCGGGTGTCTTATTTTGAAAGACAACTACTTCCGCCTTTGCCTAACTTCCGCGCTTGACTCGTTGGCGCATATTTATCCTGCATCAGCAATGCAAGCTAGCCCTCGCAAAATGAGCCAGAAACAGAGTTCACTGGAGAGTTTTTTTAGAAAGGGTAAGTTACGGGTTCACTGCTTATTTATTTACTGTTATTGGAACCTTCACGCCCGTTTCTGCGTGAAACTGGTCCCTGGTACAAAAAAGGTTGGGGACCACTGCTATAGAGTGCTTAATCTTTATCCACATACCAGAGGCTTCTGTGGCATTAAGTAATTGGGGCGTTTGGTCTTAACATTCATAAATTGACAAGCATGTGACACTAATTTGTAGTGAAGCTTTCACCAATTCTGACTTCCCTGTTTATTTGGGTCATGTGTCCAAAAGAGAAACAAAATTGTTATTGTTAAATTGTGGGAAGCCATTCCCTCCCAGAAGAATAAAATATTTTAGGGAATATTAAAAAAGGCAGAGTATTATATTTCCCTAAAGGAGAAACATGCTCTTGGAAAGCAGCCCCCACCTTTCTTAATTGCCCCAGCAGGACTGGGCCAGCCTATCTATAAGACAAAAGACCTTCAGCTCCAGGGTGATGGGATTAAGACATGGCCCTTCAGGACATAGTAAGACCATTTAGCAGAAGACACAGAGCCTACTGCATTGCAATCTCCTAAGGACATTGCATCACCCAGCAAGCTTCAACCAAACCTGGGAGCTCAGACAACCTCAGTTATGACCCTGCATAGTCCCATGGGAATCTGACATCAGCCAATATAACACATGTTCTTGCACAGGAACAGGAAGCTCAAGTTCAAATCCCAAGAGAAGGTATAAATAGCCCTCACTTGCAACTCCATGTGGTCAGCTATCCAGAGCCATGTGCTTGGTGGTTCTGCTTCATCAATAAACCATCTTTCTAGTCAGCCTCCATATTTCCAGTGCTTTTCTCCCAACTTGGAACTGAACCAGATGGATATTTCTTCCAACAAAATGTTTATCAGAACATGCAGGGAGGATTGGAAAGGAAAACCCCACATTTTACTTAAAGAAGGGTTTTCTGTGATCACAGAAAGAGAGACTAGACCAGCTATCCATATCATGGTGATCTCTTAATGTACTAGATGACAGCTCCCATCATCCCCAACCAGACTGAGGAAGTCTAGTGTGACTCATAAGTCTTAATCTCTGATCAGTTTGAGGTTTATCAGATAATCCCAGAGAATTATCTATCCATAGTTCTCATTGGCCCTATGTAGAATGCTCATGACTCATTAGGCATCACACATTTTTGCTAAAAATTCTTAAACACAGTCCTTGATTTACAACAGTTCATTTAGTGACCATTTAGAGCAGGAAACTCCAAACTTGGCAATTTTAAGACTTGTTGTGGACTTCAACTCCCAGAATTTCCCAGCCAGCATGACTAGCTGAGGAATTCTGGGAGTTGAAATCCACAAATGTTGACTTCCGGTGGTAAGGCAAGGACGAACAGAGGTGCAGAAGCCCATCCGTGGTTTCAGTTAATCTCTTTTTGCGGTTGGTGCGATCCTTTGAGGGTGCATGAGTCCCGGAGAGATTTGTGCCGGCGTGGGGGAGACTCGGGTTTCAGTGTGGGGAAGGCAACCCCCCTGCAGCGAAGAGGAGCCTTTCAGAGCCCAACAAGCAAGAAACAGCCGCCTATCAATGGCTGCTCCGAAGTCCGGATTGCCACCGATGTAAGAAGTGAGTGACAGTTTGTGGGATCATTGGTTAAGAGTGTGGCAGAGAAAATTAGCGGCGGAGAGGATGATTGGAATGCTATGGACTTTTATAAGGCTGTTACAAGTGTCTTTCCGGAGCCCTAAAAGGAAGCAGCCAGAAAGCAGATGCGAGGCAAGTGAAAGTGAAGGGGCTTGGCAGATAGAAGAAAGATAGAGGACAATAATGACTAAAAAGGGAAGTTTATGAGGTCGGGAGATATACCACACTGATAATAATAGAAGGGAATCTAGCGGCTGGAAGGTGACTGGAAGGTGTGGAGAATTTGGTCTATTTCATTTGATTTTTATGCTGAAAGACTTTATTAAAGCGGAGACGGGAAGAAGATCGGAGCTGACGGAACAGAGACAGTGTGGCGCCACAGGCGATACTTAGAAACCCTGAAGCTATCGTAACAATATAACTGATATAAACCACTTAACAGCCCTTCAGGGAGCATACTGATCTAACTGAGGAGGTGGTCCCATCTGAAGAAAATCAGGAAAATTGAACTTAGGAACACTAAGACAAAAGTAAAAGTGGAAGCTTCTGAATATGTGGAGATACCATGTAATTACAGTCACTACTCAGCATTTTTTACCTCCCCACTTCTGGTGCGTTTGGGGTAAAAGCTCTCAAACTTAGAGACGGAAAGCTAAAAACTTACTTTAAAATTCCTTTTTCCCCTTCTTTACTCCCTTTTTTCTGTATACATTTGCTCATTTTTTCTTTATTCCCCCACCATCCGGCGTTATGATGAACTATCTCTCCTTCCTCAATCTCTCTTTATAATGATTATAAATATGTATACTGGGGAAAGGAAAATTGATTGTTGTAATTGATTTAATAGATTTATTAATAATAGTGATAGTTATACTTTGATTAGATATATAGGGAAAATAGTAAGAACATTAATTATTATTTAATTAATAACTATAGGATTTTATATATTAATATTATAATTCATTGTGCGATCACAATTAATCCACTTGGAGACGAATGTAATACTGTTTGTGTTTAAGAATATTTAAAATAAGGTTAGATAATACATATATTTATAATATTTAAATATAATTGGATTTGGATATTATAGATGATAGATAGATAGATAGATAGATAGATAGATAGATAGATAGATAGATATAGATAGAGATATATAGATATAGATATATAGATATAGATATATTTGTTTTCTTAAGTTTTCGCGGGTACTTACATGTATGGTATTCTGCTTTGTTCGAGTATTTTCCCACATCATTATAGTTGTGCTTTTAAAGTTGTAGCAACGTTTCGGCAGAATCTCATCTGCCATCATCAGGCTTCTGTATTGTGTTCGTCTGTGAGTCAGACTTTTACAGTTGTTTCAGTTTTAAATTTGGGGCTAGCCTACTGTTGTGCCAGAATGGTTTTTTCTTCATCCTGATTGGTTGGGAGTTTTGGTCTGTGTTTATTGGTCTTGGAGTTTGCTGTGTTCTGCTTGATTGGTGTTTCTAATATCTTCTGTCTGTTTTGTGGCTTTTTTGTGTGTGTCTTGATTGGCTGGCAACATTGTATTCCTGTATTGGAGGCTTTTAGTGCAGCTTGGCTCCGAGTAAATGGACGGCTATCATTTGTTAGGAAGCTAGGTTTCATCTGGGTGCCTGGTTGGGGTGTGTTTGAGCTGGAGGTATCGGGGGGGATCTGTTTGTGCCCAGGTATTTAAATGCCTGGCTAGTGGTGTGGATATTTTTTTGTTTTTGAGTGCAGGCTTCCAAATTATTGACAGTCTGGTGGAATCATCTCTTCTAGTCATGCTTTCAGGTCTTTTTTCAATCTCTATGGCTTCTCTGATAATTCTGTGGCTGGGGTTTTCTATAGTGGCTAGGGTTTTCGTGCCATTGAAGTTGATGCTATGACCTGTGGCTTTCATGTGTTGGACTAGTGAGGAAGTGTGTTCCAGGTTTTTACTGCATTTTTGTGTTCATCCAGGTGGGTACTTATTCTTCTATTGGTCTGTCCAATGTATGTGGCCGGGCATGATGCACAGGGGACTTCGTATATGCCTTGGTTTTCCAGGTCAAATTTATCTTTGGGGTTTCTAAGGATGGCTGATATTTTTCTGTCTGTTTTAAAGGCAGTCTTGAT